TTTTTTTTTTTTTTTTGTATCACTAGTCCAGCAATTGCTTTTTTTTCCTGTTCAAGTTTTTTTTTTTTTTGAGTTTGTCTTGATCTCGGAAGTAACCTCATTGGCCTGTAACGGAGATCTGTTGAATTTGCTTGAGATTTCTGAATTCATCGTTGTAGGATTTCATCACTGTTGGATTTCTGGGTCAAATTTGATTTTCTAAATGAACTGATAATCACTAAACCATCCCTGGTATTAACCTTTCTGCGAAGTCATTTATTTCGAAACTGTAGGTATTAATTGATATAATGCCGCCAACGTCTTTGGTGGTACCAATGTTTGGGCGCTATTTGATCACAACGATGATTCTCGTCTCACTTTCAACTGTTGTTTCCGTTATCACTGTAAATTTTCGTTTCCGCAGTGGTTCGGCCTATCGCATGTCGCCCTGGATTCGAAAGCTACTCCTTCATCTCTTACCAAAGTATTACATTTTTTCTTGTTAATATAGTATTTCAGTAAGTCTCAGTGCAGAGTTTGCAAAGATTTCTGTATAATTCGTGGTGAAGGCTGATGCTTGGAATCAACGCATCGCACTACAGATGGCTTGCCTTCCGCATACTCGAAAATTCTGTGATTTTAAACATCTCTGTGCGAGAAACATTTTTTTGGCAAAACGTCGCTCCATGTTTCGAATGTGCGTCTTTATATACTTAAATGTCCGATTGTTTGAGGTTACTATACATGAAACGAATTGTTCCAAAGAGACAAGCTGACTCCCTTGAAAATATCCTTGTTGAACCGGCATCGTTGGTACGACCACCGAGAGTCTCGTTTGGTGATTCCCGAAGCACGGCTACTGCGAAGCAGAGTTAGTTCTGTGTTGATTTTCACTCTTCAAAAAAAAACCTGTTTAAAAGGAAATTGTTGCTTAAAACTTGAAAAGCAATTGTCTTTTTAATCTCTTAAATTTGCAGTTTTCAGGTAAAAGTGTATCCAAAAATTTGGATGTCTCGTCAGGTTGCTGTTTTAAAAGTTGTGAATTCCCAAAGCGCGACACCAATTACAAGCATTTGAATATCGGCACCAGAAAAGAATCCGGGATGGCCCAATGTCTAACTTGTAATCTTCGTGAAAAACAGGTCAGTATTAATTGTTGGTATTCCGTTCATCGTAAATTGCTGCGACAGGCGATCGAAAATGGGTAAAGTGAGGCTGAATACCTTCCCGCTTTCGCGTTTATAAAACCTCGTACCTGTGCTGACAATCCAGGAATAGCAATCGCTCAGATATTCGTGTGGGAATCTCATTTTAGTGATGTTACTGTGATGGTTCCATACGCCGGACGCTGCTGCGCCCGTCCCTTCGGTCCTAGGCTGCATAGCTCCAGTTGGTACCCACCGCCTGTTTGATGCGTATCTTCGGGAGAGGGCTCCCGAATGGTTGTTTCTGATTTCGTTCACCAAATTCTTTCGACCTCGAAAACCCAGAAAATGGAACAAAGACTGCATTTCGGAAGAGCATTCAGAAAGGGGCGAGCTGAGCAAACTTTTCTACTTGCTTAGCAGTATGTTTTACCTTGATAAAAGTGTTCAACACATGTATGCTTGTTGGGACTCATATGTTGTGCTCCCTCGCTCATTAATGCAAAATTAAGGCTGGAGAAAACACTGCATATCGATCTCAACGCACCAGTGATCTCGAAAGACAGTTAAGTAAAAAACAGGAAATAGTTGTCAAATTGCTACTTCAAATTCGATTTATTGCTGATCATTTTCGATTGGATGAAGAAAAAGCAGAGGTTGTTTGTGCTTTTAGTTTTTTTTTTTTTAAACATCTCAGTGAAAGCTGCTTTTGGATAGTTATAATTAATATATTTAGTTGCAGTGAAATATTTTTCTGTTTTTCTAAAGTGCCAGTTGTGGTGCAGCTGTCTTCTGTTGACAGGGCATGACGATTCTTCCATTTTGGCCTGTAATTTTTTATATTATCAGAAATACTGCCTAAGGCAGGGATGGAAAAATAGAAGAAAAACCAATTGCCAGTTCACTGTTTTCTCTTTAGCAAAATAAAGCTAGTGAAATTCCCATATATGTCGCCATGGTCGGTCTTAACATTGTCTGTTTTAAAGCATTTAACCTGCACTGTTCAGAATGGAAAGTGCTGATTTGACAAAATCAGCCGACGGGTTATTACTGCGGTGAATTTGTTAAGATGTGCAAAAATGCTTGGTAACATTTCGACCTATCCATATTTAAAGGCTCATATTTGCCTACGCTTCATCGTTTACGGCTCAGCTTACTCTCCCATGTTATAATATAAGCCAATTTCCATTTCCACTACCCATGTTCGGCCTTTCACTGGCAGTTAACTAATTATCATCGTACAACAAACGAAATGATCAGGATGTTTGGAAATGAAAATCCAAAATCCATAAAATTTTAAATTGCACTCACAAAAATTGGAGTTTCTCGAAAGAAATTCAGCAAAACGCAGCTTACTTACAGGTGTCTGACGAATGGATATTTGTCGCTATGGTGCTGGACCGATTGTTTCTCATCATATTTTCGGTATTAAATGTCGGCACATTTTTAATACTAATGGAATCGCCGTCACTTTACGATACCCGGCGACCAATGAATATCACCCATGCGACAAAACCACTTGGACAAGGGAGCTTCGTTTTTCCTACCACGTCTCATTTGTAGAAATTCCACACAGATTTTGAAATCAGAATTTCCGAGATCGTCTTCATGGCCATCGATGTTTCCTCCTGATCTTACGACATATTGTTTTGTTGGATGCGCATATGCCAAACTCCTATGCATTTTTCCTTTTGCGCACGACGATACCGGCATATGAGTCGTTCGAAGAAACATTCACTGTCGTATCTCGCCACGGAACTTATGCGTACATTTAATAAGTTCTGCAGCAATGACCAGCTTTCTTAACTTGCGTTCATATGAAGCGACGGAGAGATGCACGTACAAACTGGCATATGTGAAGATATCCGCGACGCAAAATTCAGCAGATTTGCAGCCGATTCAACAATACGTTCTTTCGTTTTTTACGCTTTCTACATTTTTGATGAATGCGGGAAATGCATTATGCGAGATTGTCCATGTATATATATATGTGTGTGTGCGCCTGTGTCTGTATGTGTGACTGTGTATTCGGATTCAACTCGGTAACCAAAGAAGTCAGGAAGTGGGAATTTTACGAGAGTGCTGCCAATGTATGCGCCTTTAAACATAAAATCAACTGTGCACCTACCTCACGTATGAACGCCAGAAAGGAAAATCAAAGTTTTGACGAGAACGATTTCCGGAACCAGAAAAGGTAGGAAGCTGAAATTTCATGTGGGTTTTCTGTGTTCATTTGCAGCCTAAAGATCTCTAATTCACTTATTACATTCGCCTGCATTACCCTCTCACATTATAGTTAAATGGCATTCTTAGTATTTCATAAACTACGTTTATGATTTTTTATCCCTTTCTATCCTTATTTCATTTAGCCCTAGATTGCACTCTAGGGCTAACTGTCGTGGACGATGATGTTACTGGCTACGATAGCTCCGCTAGTTGTCCGCTTCAAAAAATTTGTACTGAATATATATTGTTCTAGGCCGGCAGAGTAGCTTGTAGTAGCAATAGCCCAGTTCTTGAATGGAGTGCAGTATACAAGAAATTGAAAATTCAAGTATCACTCTTTCACCCGTCCAAGTAATCCTCACTGATCCGAGTAAAAAGGTAGAGATGTTCTAAGTAAACAACATTGGGTGTTCTTTGCTTAAGAGAATCCAAGTACTGCACGATTGTAAATGCAGTACTTGACAGTTGAGGGGAATTACTTGAAATTTGGGAAGTCGCGGCTCGGCATTAAAGTAAACAACCCGAACCTGTCCATTTAATTTTACTTTAATGTTCGAGTAATCTGTGGCAGGAGAAGGAGGTCGAATTTAGGTGCGGAACGCGCCGTTGCATGGCCCCCCGTCCCTTCTCTCACTCCCTCCGATAGCACATCCCTGCTGTGTTATCATTGATTATGCTGACGAGAAGCGCCCGTCAAACAATTAATTGTTTGGCGAGCGCTTCTCATCGGCTCTTTCGGTTTTTTAAGTTCGGTTCGTCGGCTTGAGTCGTCTTTATACCCTTTGGGTTACCAAACCTTTATTAATGAATAATAAAATAACGAACGTAACGCAGAGCCTTAAGTGCGATACATAAGGTAGTATACATTATATAGCATTGATAACTGTAAGAAAAACTAGGGCGAGTATCAGTCCTTGGTGTTGTTGTATCCTTGTCGTGTTCCTTGTTGTCGCCGTTTGCCGCTGCTGGCCCTCGTTGTCGCTCTCCGCGGAATGAAGAGATCAGCTGAAGGGATGCTCGCGAGGAATGTGAGCAGTCACCCCCAGCTGGTTCATATTCCTCACCCCTTAACATACACAAACAATGAAAGCGCACAAAATGCGCCTGTACTATACGCATGTAGATACACTGCACAGTTACAAATAATTTTTAAATTTGATTCTGCCTGTGTATCAGAAAAGTCGCATCTTCTCGACAATAACCTTTGGACTACCGACCTATCTTTAGAATGACGCATGACGCAGCCTTTTAATTCTTAGTTATCCGTATATATAAGTTAGTTATTCCGCTTTTTGAGACTTTTATAAATCAGCTTTCGCTACTTTTCACGACAGCAGCCACTCCGTTTTAGGAAGTTTCATCTCTTCAGAACCTACCGTCCTCTTCCATATTTTCATCTCCCTCTCTTTTATTCTTTTCTATTTTGTATAGTAGTATTCTGTAATGTTTTATAAGTTTATTCTAATAAACATGCTATAGAATAATAATCACACATACGAGTGTAGGTATAAGTCGTAGTCACACGATTACATATACAACTGCATTAAAACTATTTTTGGCGGGAAGTAATTTTGGGGACCGGTCGTTTTAGTAAGCCAAAGTTTTTCATTCGCATTCTTTCATTCAGCCAAAGTCTTTCATTCAATAATAATCACATTCTTACCTGTGTGCGGCCCAAGAATTTTAAATTCAGCTTTGAGGCATGCTTAGGTCAGATGCACTACTACGTAAAATATCAAACTGGAGCACTACTGGCACTCTTCGAACTTGGGAACCAGTCTGAATGGAAGCTGTGCTTTTACATTGACACATGCTTTTACATGTGCTAGTCTATAAGCGCAAAATGCGCTTGCGTCTAGGCCTGTGTCGCAGAAGCGGGCACTTTAAAGTTCCATTTGTAGAATTGTCCATATTGCCCTTTCAGACATGTTAGGAAACTGAAACTTCACAGGGCTGCACAGTGCGAGAAAGTACCTCGCTTGAAAATTATGCAAATTTGGTTAAATGTGATAAAAAATATGTATAAGCGATGTGTTTATTATGACTGGACATTGTAATCATTAGTATTCTCTGGGACGGCATAAACAGCGCTGTGTTACGTCCGTGTGCAATCACGAATCGCCTGCATCGAGACAGGTACGCCCAACATCGGGGCTGAGCCGAACAGGTGCTGATGCCCATAATGCGCTTATGGAGCAGGGAAGCAAAGAGGTTATGGAAGCCTCGGGGCATAACAAAGATCCTGTTCCAGTGGCGATGGAAAATAGTTCGCGATTGGATGGAGTAAGCGGAGGATGCTGCTGGCTGAAGTGACAGCTGATGACTGGCTGTGGATGCTATTGGCTGGAGTGACAGCTGATGGCTGGCGTCATGAAGGATGCACCGAGTTTATGAGACAGCCTGTTGAGAGACATAAGGCTAGCCTTGTTATAACGGAGACAAGACGCGTGATTGGAAAAATTAACCAGGCTTTTGCAGTCCGGAACGAAAGGTGACAAGAAGAAGAAATGAAGTGGCGTGAGACGCTTCCTCTTCCGCAAAGTCTAAAAAGCGATCGTGGACATTGGCCAAAGTTATTCGAGAACAGTCTGAAGACAGAAGCAATGGGACACTATAAGACGAGTACAAGCGATTTTGTTACATATGCAAGACAATAAAAAGAACGACATAGAAAGCCGGAAGGAAATAAAGGAAATAAGTATGCGAAAGACAAGTACTGTAGGTATTCAGACTTTGAAAATCATATGACCGCGCTTGGGGAGAGTGCCGGTGGTAAAGGGTCGTCTGCTGATCTAGCACGTATAGTAATCCAGTGTACCAAATGCATACAAGCACAGTTATTGCCACTGGAGAAGTTCTGTGGGGGAAATGGCAAGAGTGAAAGTTCCGGGATTTCACTGCATGATTTGGAAGGGAATCGTATAGGACCAAAACAAGGTCGAGCTAAGGGTCTGAAGACTGCAGGAAGTCCTGCTGGATTAGAATATAAGCGAAGTAACTCGAGAGTGAAGACTGCTTAAGAACAATCGGAAAAAATGATGCCAGTCGGATAGTTGATAGCAGAAAAAAATGTAAACCGGCATAAAAAGCTTGTATAGTGTTGACAAAAATGTGTTGATTCTAATGGTTCTTATTTCAATTAATAAACTTTATTCATTGCTGAGATATGTCACTTTAAAAATTTTGG